CGTGGTAGAAGACTAGTTAGGTATCCAGGAGCTAACCCATTAAGGGCCTTATAGGTAAGTAATAATATTTTGTAACTGATACGGAACTTAATAGGTAGCCAGTGCAGAGACTGTAAAATTGGGGTAATATGATAATATTTTCTTGCCCTTTTAAGGACTCTAGCCTCTGCATTTTGGACTACCTGTAGCTTGTTTATTGAGGATGCAGGACAACCACCTAGCAGTGCATTACAATAGTCCAGTCTAGAGGTCATGAATGCATGAACTAGCTTTTCTGCATCAGAAACAGGTAACATGTTTCATAGCTTGGCAATGTTTCTAAGATGGAAGAATGCTGTTTTTGTAACATGGGAAATATGATTTTCAAAAGACAAGTTGCTATCTAATATAACACCAAGATTTTTGACTGTAGAGGAAGTAACAGTACATCCGTCTAGTTGCAAATTGTAATCCAAGAGATTATGTGTACTGTTTTTTGGTCCAATAAGTAATATCGCTGTCTTATCCAAATTTAATAAGAAAAAATGATTGGTCATCCAATATTTTACTTTTTTAACATACTCTGTTAGCTTAGATAATTTAGAAGTTTCATCTGGTCTTGTTGAGATACATAGTTGAGTATCATCATCATAACGGTGGAAACTAATCCCGTATTTTCTAATTATACTACCAAGGGGCAACATATTGAAAATAGCAGAGGACCTAGGACAGATCCTTGTGGCACTCCATACTTTACTGGTGATAATTGTGATGACTCCCCATTTAAATAAACAAAGTGGTAGCGATCGGACAGGAAGGATCTAAACCATCTTAAAGCCTGCCCTTGAATACCTGTATAGTTTTGTAATCGATCTATGAGTATGTCACGATCTATGGTGTCGAATGCAGCACTAAGATCAAGTAAAACTAGCAATGAGATGCAGCCTTGGTCTGACGCGAGAAGCAAGTCATTTGTAATTTTAACAAGTGCAGTTTCTCTGCTATGATGGGGTCTGAATCCTGACATGAAATTCTTCAGAGAGATCTTTTTTTGCAGGAAGGAGCACAATTGAGCAGACGCTTTTTCAATTTTTTTTTAGATAAACTGAAGATTTGAAATGGGTCTGTAATTTGCCAGTTCACTAGGATCTAGTTGTGGTTTCTTAATAAGAGACTTAATGACAGCAAGCTTGAATGGTTTTGGGATGTGACCTAAAGATAACGACGAGTTAATAATATTGAGAAGTGGTTCTTCTGCTACAGGTAACAACTCTTTTAATAATTTAGTGGGTACATGATCTAACAGGCATGTTGTTGGTTTAGATGCAGTGATAAGTTTATTTAGCTCACCCTGTCCTATATTTGTAAAGTACTGCAGTTTATCTTTTGGTGCGATGAATGAAGCTAAAGTATTATACACTGTAGAATCAACATTTGTTATTGTTTTTCTGATGTTATCCATTTTATCAGTGAAGAAATTCATAAAGTCATTACTATTAAACTGTGAGGGAATATTTAGATTGGTGGCGTCTGGTTATTTGTTAATCTAGCCGCTGTGCTAAATAAAAACCTTGGATTGTTTTGGTTATTTTCTATGAGTTTGCGGATATGCTCGGTCCTGGCAGCTTTTAGAGCCTGTCTATAGCTGGACATACTGTTGAGCTGCATCGTATCATGTGTCGACGATTGCCAGAGATATTGTCAAAAGCATAAAATATTTGGCAATATTAAGAGGATTTAACATTTCCAATTAATGCAGGCCCATTATATCTTACAATCTTATTATTAGGCCTATTATTATTATTAGGCTACTTTTATTATTAAATTAGAATTAATTTTCCCCACAATAATTTCACAACGCAATATTATAGGCCTACAATGAATTATAGGCCTATAATTATTAACACTGCAGTCATCAATGAAAATTAAGAACAGCTTTATTTCATGCACCGATTTTCAAAAATAATCTGTTTACCGCAAAATAATTAGTTTTCACTATATGGGCCACTTTCACTTTCTGTACAGTGAACTGACTGAGGTTAAGACGTTCACAGGCATAACTCTTGCGCAAAGTATTGCAGCATAACTCTTGCGCAAAATATTGCCACGTAGCCGAACGTCGGTGCAGTTTCACTTTTGATTCAAATCCGTTTGGCTTGACACTTAAAATAAATAATGAATGGGACTATAGGCTATTTTTTAATATAGGCTACTATATATTTTTATTTTATGCTACTTAGGCTATATTTTTAATTCTTCTTCCCGCCCCCCTAAATACCGTAATTTTAAGGATTCGTCATGGAGTGAGGGGAAGTAAAATATGCATACATATTAATAGTGTTTATGTTTGTTAATGTTGCATTTTATTTACCAGTATTTTACATTATTTTTGAATGTATTATTCTAATAATAAAATGCGTTTTTACAATGATGCTCTCTCAACATGTGGTGTGGAGTGAGTTCGGTGCCTAGCTGAAGGGCACTTCAGTCGTAGCTATTTAAGGTGGAAGAGAGAGCTGTACACCCCCCCCCCCACCCCCACCTACAATTCCTGCCGGTACTTAAAGGGTTAATTCACCCAAGAATTAAAATTCTGTCATTAATTACTCACCCTCATGTTGTTCCAAACCCATAAGACCTTTGTTCATCTTCGGAACACAATTTAAGATATTTTTGATCAAATCTGAGGGGCTCTCCGACCCTCCCATAGACAGCAAGGTAACTACCATGTTCAAGGTCCAGAAAAGTACCAAGATGATCGACAAAGTAGTCCGTGTGACATCAGTGGCTCAACTGTAAAATTACGAAGCTACGAGAATACTTTTTTTGCGCAAAGAAAACTAAAATAATGACTTTATTCCACATTTTCATCTCTACTGCGTCACTTGTAGACGTGCGTTCATATTGTGTTCCGAAGATGAACGAAGGTCTTATGGGTTTGGAACAACACGAGGGTGAGTAATTAATGACAGAATTTTCATTTTTGGGTGAACTAACCCTTTAACGCTAGCATCATTATCAGTCAGGGACAGATACAAAGCCAACTTAGAGCCGAAATGACTGGCCATTTTAGGACCATTCTAAATGCAGTTTACAGCACTGACTTGTGTGAATTTGATCATTTTATATCAATAAACATAAGCATCAACTTAAATTCACAAATTATGAAATTGAATAGTTTAGCCATTAAGCACTGTTGTGACTTAATAAAAATAATATTATGCCTGCACTTACTAATAAAAACTGATCATGGAAACAAGTCAACAATGAATTTCATTAATGATTAGTTGGGTTTGTGGTATACATTATATCAACACATTGTTTTTGATACAATGTATAGCCTAGCAATAGAGCAAGTGACTTTACAGCAACTCTTGAGGGATTTGAAAGCATTTTTACTTGTATCAGTTACTGAAAAGGTAAAAACACTAAAGGGAGAAAATTACCTGATGGAAAAGAAACATCATCATCATCACTCTTGTTCCTCAGCTGTGTTTTCTCTCTTCATCTTCATCATCTTCCTGCAGTCCAGCAGTTTGCCTGAGCACATCTTCAGTGGCGTCTGCAGCATCTGCTGTTCTCCAGCGTTACAGTAAGGACACAGAGACTCTGTGGAGGTTTGATGGCTGGATCCATGACTGTCACACACACTCTCCTGAGCGTCAGTGGAACAGAGTCCTGTGTGTCTCTGGATCTCTGTTCAGACTGAATCCGTCCCATCAGTCACACACAACCAAATCTTGTCCAGCTCCTGAGAAACACAGAATCACAGTGACAGTGAAAAAAAAAACTGTTGGTAGACTAAAAACATTTTAAAAATTAAGATATCAAAATTAAAATGTATAAAAAATTAAGAAAGAAAATGTTTAGATATGACAAGGTAATTTAAAAATAGCAGTTTTATTTATAAAATAAGTTTGGTTCTATTGTATTACACCACTGCATATATAATCAGATCCTGAAGCAAAACCAGATGAAAACTGAGGTCGAATTTTAATTGTATGAACCAATTAATCTAACTGAATCTGAATCAGCAACTTGATATTTGCCACGACTGTCGTCAAACAATTAATGAACTGAACAAAATGGCACATACAGTACATTCTAAAGGTTTCTCACACTGTTTAGGCTTACACACTCAGCAGGGATGAATTAGAAACTTTTCTTATAAACTCAAGATTATAGGTGGAGCTATTATGACATCTTGGCAAGTGAGTGAAAGACTGCAGAGAAAGTGAAATGAAACAGATGAACAGGAAGCTTTTCAAAGAACACTTCTATTCAGAAACAGAAGTTAACAGTCAGACCTGATATTCACTCACAGGTAAGTGATGGAAATGAAAGAACTAGTTCAGTAGTTTAATAGCATGAAGCAGTATCAGAAAGTATGTTAAAAATATGTCATTTATTTGGCTGTAAAGCAAGGTTTGACGTGTGCTGTCAAAGGCTCCAGAAACGGGAAACAGGTACTTGAACTGCAGACAGAATGAAAAAAGGCCAGTGAAAATCATAACGTCATTAAACAAAAATAACAGGTATTTAGTGAGTTATTTGTTTAAAATATTACACTTACACCCGTTTACTGTGTTGTCTTTCTTAAGTAAAATAATTTTCATGATAGTATTAAAATATTGTTGTTACAGATAAATGTGAAATATTTAGTTTATTTAATTTTTTCTACCAGCCAATAATATCCATTGCAGTGCCACATAGACTGAAGCTCCAGACCAGCAAACTCAGACAGGGGCGGAGCTTATAGCCAGATGAGGTTTTAGTGGTGGAAACAGGTTTCAACATTCATCAACTCTGCTCTAACGTCCTGCCAGAAACTGCTATCATATATTACTGTATGGCTGTTTTGACATAAACAGTGGTTTATAATTTTAGTTAGAATAATTTTTAACATGCAACATCAATTTTTGCACACAAACTTAATTTCTCAGTCAGTGCACATTAGATGTATCAAATCTGCTCTATTCAGCAATGTAGATAATATATTGTCTTTACTTATCTTTTCAGGCATGACATCCTCCAGTGGTGCACTAAATGAGGAGCTCCAGTGCTCCATCTGTCTGGATGTGTTCACTGATCCAGTCACCACTCCATGTGGACACAACTTCTGCAGAACCTGCCTGAACAAGTGCTGGACAAACACACAGACCTGCTTCTGTCCATCCTGTAAAGAAACATTCAGCAGAAGACCTGACCTTGAGATTAACACAACCAGTGGCACCGCAATGGGGGGGGAGGTTACGACGATTCAAAGGGCCCTGTTCGGAGAGGCGGGCCCCGAAAGGCAAGCTCTACCGAAGAGGACAAAACAACCCCCGCTTCCACTCCCCCGAAAGCAAACTCTACAGAGGTCCCAAGTCAATATGCTACTCAGGGGGCCCAGAAACAATAGCAGCGCCCCCGAATACAATGCTGAGAGTTTTGCGCAACACTTCAAGGAGAAGCTCAATCTAGGAGAATCTGAGGTGTTGTGTGACATCTGTGATGGAAGAAAGCAGAAAGCTGTGAAGTCCTGCCTGACGTGTCAAAGCTCTTACTGTGAGACTCACCTGGAGCCTCATCACAGAGTCCATCGTCTAAAGAAACACACACTGATCAACGCTGTGGAAAATCTGGAGGATTATATATGCCAGAAACATGAGAGACCTCTGGAGCTGTTCTGCAGAGATGATCAGACGAGTGTGTGTCTGTCCTGCACTGAAGGAGACCACAGGACTCACAACACTGTTCCTATAGAGGAGGAGAGTCGAGAGAAGAAGGCAAGAGTCACAAACAAAACACTATAAACACAGTGTATCACAGGAAACCATGTGACCACTAGAAGATCGATGTGTCAAGGCATGACCTTGTAGCCGAATTAAGAGAACATAAATTTAAAACTGCAGTGCTGAAGAAAAGAGGAGTGGATTGTATGTTTTTTTACATTTGGGATTTATTATTATTTGAGCTGGGTACATTACTTACAAACTGCAGTCGGTTACTGATTACAGATTACATGATGAAATCTGTAGTTAGTAACGTAATCTAGATTACTCATTTTAGGTAATGGATTCTGGCTACTTTTTAGGTTACTTTTAGATTATTTTTCATTTGTATTAAACTTATCATTAAACATACTATATTTACATAAAAAAATATTTTTATATCAACATCATAAAATACTGTAAACATGACAATAACCAGGGTTTCTCAAATGTAAAAATGCAGCGGGTTTGTGAGTTGATAAAAAGCTAATAATTAATTAAATCATAAAAATGTAAAATAAACTATTTAAACACTAAAAATGTCATGAATGTCAATGTGACCATTAAGCGACACTGAACTGTAAACATGCGAATGTCTTTATTGAAATATTACCTTCCTCAGAGATATTTCAAGTAAATATTTAATGTCAAAGGGGTTTGGCTGACAAAAATGTTTGGGAATCCCTGCATTACATTAGATTACACACTCAAAGTCTTCCAGATTTTAAATATTTTTGTCCAGATTTCCAGAATTAACAGTTACTGGAAGTCACTGAATATGATAAAGATGTAATGCTTCACAGCTACACATCACCAGTGTTTAGTAACTTGCATAATTATTTGTTTCATACATGGTCTAATTACTTGAGGCGATTTTTTTCACCCAAATTCAGAACCGTGGTTTGCAAAATTATTTACATGACTTTTACATGGCCATTCAATATCATTAATATAGTCAAAACTAACTGGTATGACACATACCAGTTAGGATTTTAAGAGAAGAAAGCGTAAAATTTAAAAGAGAAATATCTCAATCTTATCTTATCATGGGCATAAAATGTAACATACTCTAATTATGAGTACTTGATTTTTGGAATCTGACTACATAATCCAGATTACATGTAATCAGTTACTACCCAGCTCTGGTTATGTGTTGAATTTATATTTTTAAAAAGACGCAGCAGAACGTGATGTCATAGCACAACCGTTGCAGCTTCTGAAGAAATTTCCCATGCTCAAAATCTAGTGTGACCGTCAGAAGATGGAAAGTTAAATTCAGCGACAACTGTGTGTTTTTCTCTGTGTGTAGAATCAGCTGCTTCAGACACAGACAGACGTGCAGCAGATGATCCAGAACAGAATGAAGAAGATTCAAGAAATCCAGCACTCAGTAGAGCTGAGGAAGGTCAGAGATAGAATTTGGAAAATTAATGTTAAGCTTCATAATATTTGAATACATAACAAAGGTGCTGAATTAAATGTTTAATTTAAATTTAAAATAAAAAAAATGATAAGATAAATAAATACATGCAATATTCCATAAAAAAATATTGCCCATTTAAATTTCATGGTGTCTATAAATAAATGTAAATACATAATAAATTAATTTGCTAACTGTTCTCATTGATCAGAGAAACACCGAGAAAGAGAAATCAGCCAGTGTTGAGCTCTTCACTGATCTGATCCGCTCCATTGAGAGATGTCAGTCTGAGCTACTGCTGATGATGGAGGAACAGCAGAAAGCAGCAGAGAAACAGGCTGAAGATCTCATTAAAGAGCTGCAGCAGGAAATCACTGATCTGAAGAAGAGAAACACTGAGCTGGAGCAGATCTCACACACTGACGATCATCTCCATGTCATACAGGTCTGTCAACATCCGTCTCATTCAGGGGTTTAGGACCTACCACATCTGAGGGTCCTACCCACTTTTAGCATCATTCAGATACTATTAGTTTTTATTATAATTATGCTATTATACTATTGTTTTTTTTATTATTCAAATTTTTCATGTTGATTTTTTCATTTGTTTTCATTGCAATTTTAGTTAAAGTTTTAGTAATTTATTTAATTTTTTTTCTTTTTTATTATTATTATATTTTTTATAATGTGTCTATAGTTCTCTTTCAAACAATTGCTCGGTATCTCACTATGGGAAATGCCTCAGGTGTGATAGACTATGGAAGCACCAATCACACCACACCACAAGATTTTCCTCCATGCTCTGGTGGATTCGAAGGGTTTATTCGGATTAGACAGATCCTGGCCGGTTTTCTCTCTGTCCGCTAGATGAAGCCAAAGAAATCCACTGGCTTATTATCAGGAGGCTTGGAGAAAGTGTTCTGCACATCCTTGGGTCCTTGCTACAGTAACCAGGTGTTACAGGCTTCAGTTTGCTGTAAAACCCCAAAAGTTCCAGTGGGGGAAACCCAGAAGGGCTATTACTCCTGTTATTTTCTAATTCCAAAGAAAGATAGGGGTAACACCGAATTTTGGACCTGCGTGCTCTAAACAAGCACTTAAGAAAGTACAAATTCAGAGTGCTCACAGTTGGAGCTCGCACTCGCTCGATTCGCAGGGGCGACTGGCTTTCTCAGGCCGATCTCAAGGATGCTTACTTTCATATAAGCATTTACCCTGCGCACAGAAAGTATCTCAGATTTTCCTTTCAGAGTGAAGTGTACTAGAGTGCTAGAGCTCCATCAACGTGCTCATTATATAATCTCAAATGGCACGTGTTTGAGGACTGGTGCACTCTTAAGGGAATCATTCCTTTTTAGTGCTCAATAAGCGATATTCTGTGTTTTTTGCAGAGCCTAATGGACAGTGGTAGAGCATTGTCCACTATGGTTTAAACTAAGGTTTATCTGGCTGCTATTTCGGCGTGCCACGTAGGCTTTAAAGGAGCCTCAGTGGGTCAACATCCTCTTATACGTTGTTTTATGTAGGGAGTGAGACATCTGAGACCAGTGTCAAAGCAGCTTATCGCCTCATGGGACTTGTCCAAGGTTCTGAGCGCTTTAACTCGGGCCCCATTTGAATCTATGGAGAGTGTTCATATTAAGTTCTTATCTTTGAAAACAGTCCTACTCCTCGCTTTAGTTTCAGATAAGCAGGTGGGTGAGTTGCATGCTAACCCGGCTTTGAGTGTTTTGAGGTCAGCGATTGAGTTTATAACTGCACTGCACTGGAATTAATTGCTTTTTACCCCCTTCCATTTGTTTTGGAGGAGGAGCGTGATTTGCACACATTGTGTCCGGTATGCCATTATGTAAATAGGACTTGATCATTCAGCAAGAACGATCAGTTGTTCGTTTCATTGGCTGCTCAATGTAAGGGTAAGCTAATCTCCTCACAGCGCCTTTCTCGTTGGATGCTGGAGGCAATTGAGTTGGCCTATACAGCTATGGATCTCGGTTCCCCAGTGGGCTTAAGGGCCCATTCCACACGAGGGATGGCTGTATCATGGGCTCTATTCAGGGGGATTTCGGTAGGAGATATTTGCATGGCAGCTAGCTGGGCTTCCCCTCATACATTTATCAGATTTTACTGTCTGGATCTCACTATGCCTTCTATGGTTCATGTAGTTCTCAAAGTCAGCTCGTGAGTGAAATGAGAGGTTATCTTTCATTTTCGCGGGGTCTGTTCTGCAGCTTTGGAAAACATGCATTGCAGGAGTTGGCCGTATCATTCCTATTGTGAGATACCGAGCGATTGTTTGAAAGAGAATGTTACTTGCGCAACCCCGGTTTCTCTGACAACAGAGTGAGGTATCTCGCCAAGCTTCCCTTCACACATAACATGGGGGAGCATGCTTTGAATGCCGTTTCAGGGATCACAGCAGCATATATAGGAAGGGGGTGGGATCCTGGTCATGAGCTGTGGACAGACGTGGTGTGATTGGTGCTTCCATAGTCTATCACGCCCGAGGCATTCCCCATAGTGAGATACCTCACTCCATTTTCAGAGAACTGGTGTTACACAAGTAACCTTATGTTTTTTATTGATTTCAGGATTAGGGTAAGGTTAGTTTGACCATTTTTCTCACCAGTCTTTAGAAATCATACAGAACAGAATGAAACATTAATAAACTCATATTAGGAAAATTTGTTAACTTTCTCTCTCCTGCTGTAGATCTTCTCTTCCCTATACAGCCGTCCACACAAGAACTGGACTGAGATCAGTATTGACTCTGATGTGAATGTGCTCCCTATGAATAAAGCTCTGACTCTAGTGAAGAAAACTCATGAGACACTAAAAAAAAATCTCAGTCAAACTGGTATGTGGTTATCAAATACAGTTAAAGATTTTATTTTTTGCCAGTAACTAAGAAAATCTTTCTTTTCAAGGAATATTCCCACTTAAAGCCAGTTTAATCAGTGTATCATGATGGCAATTGCCAGACAGTTATTTAGTCTCAGTTTTTAAAGGATCACACCATTTTAAAAATAACCATATCATAAAATGAAAACACTCCTTAAACACTCAAACATATTACCATTAAACCGGCATGATAAAATAATTTACTAACACGGTCTATGTGAAGTATTATCTAAACTTCACCTCATCATTAAAGATGTTTTACTTTAGTGATAGGTCATGACTCATGTACCTGACATTACTACCAATCAGTGCGTTTACATACACCCTCTTAATGCGATTATAATGAGATTTTGGAAATGTTGCGATTAAGCTTTACCTCATGTAAACGCAATACTCCGATGTAAATAAGAGGAGACCGAGAAATTTAGACAAGTTTATGACTCATAACAAAAATTTTATAGTTTTACTGATTTAATAATAATTGTAAATATTAGAGCTTTAATAAAAATACACACCCTGATAGCACACGTACATCTCAAAGATGTCTATTTAACGTCTGCATTTACATCTGCAAGATATATGAAGAGTTCATTTGCAAAAACCCATAACTCCATTGTTATTTATTTTCAGAAATCAATTTTTTTTTATTGCGCATTCCAAGTAATATCAATCAAACTGCAGTTGGGTTGTTTTGATTGAGTAATAATAACTTAAACAGGTAATTTACAAAATTAAAGTTCATTTTTACATATTAAAAGTTTGTTTTATAGCAAAAGCAGATAACTCCAACAGTTGTTTTTTGGCAAAAGCAGATAACTCCACATTTCATGTTTTAGAGTTTTAAAACTTGTTTAATCTTTGTAATCTCCTCAGATGACAATGTAGATGCCTGACAAACGTTGTTGTTGTTGTTTTGATCATAGACTGTATGGATGTGATTACACGCAATACACAGATTTTTTTCCCTCACCATTGTAACGCACTGCTTTTGCAAGGTTCCGTTAAAAAGCGTTTCAGCTTCTTTTTCCTTTTTCGCCCTGAAGAAAATATCACCGGTTCTTCAAGTTCGTCGAAATTATCCATCCTCGATCACTTTTAGTCAGCTTTGACGAAACTCCTCTCAGCTAGCATGCCTTTTTAAAGTAAAAAAGCAGCCTTGTCACCTGACCTAAATACAGCGCGCTGATTCGTTAAAATGGACTTATCAGCTTCTGTTCACAAACACCAATGGCGCTTGTCGGCTTCTGCAGTAAAACGTGAACTCGCGATGCCTTGGAAGTGGACAATTCCGGCTTTTTTGACAAAACGTGTTTAGGGTTCAGATCGCACTATATGTGGAAAATAATGCACGGCAATCAGCTTTTTTTTTTAAAGTGGCGTTTATCGGTTTTGCAAATAAACTCTTCATATTTTTTTTGAGTGTTTGCTCATCTGCAATAAGTCTGTAGGACGTCTCCTGTCAGATAGACGTATATTAGATGTCTTTAAGATGTGTATGATTTAGAATGTATGTAAAACTGACATCTTAAAGACATCTGTCAGACGTTTGTACACAGCAGATGCTTTCCAGATCAAACGATCTTTAACCGGCATCTTGCAGATGTACACTGTAAAAAATTATTGTGATTTTAACAGTAAAAGACTGTAAGTAACTAACTTACTGACAGTAAGTTTCCATACTATATTCGGTGAATAAATGTAATTACATTTAATGTAATTTTACAGTAAAATACTGTTAAAAATACGTTTTTTGGAAGTGAAAAAGAAAAAGTAATTGAATAATTTACAGTGACAAACTGTAAATTGACACTCCTAGAATTCGCTGCATGACACTTAATATTTGATGTTTTTTCGTTGAAATAACATGTTTTTTCTTAGTTTTTATCTTAACAGTTGTGTACACTAGGGTTTAATCTTACATCTACTGTTGTTCAATTAATGTTTATTGCATTATTTCAATATCATGTGTGTCACCATGATGGGGTTTAGTGTTTGTGTGAATGACACTGTGTGCACCTTCTATATATAAGTATTGCCCTCCTCAGCTCATATAAAAGCTGTTTGTGATGAGCGTTGGTTCATTGTGTGACTTTCTCATCACCACCAGTTTTTGGTGGTTATCAGTGCATTACAATGGTTCAAAACAGATATTAGTACTTCAATATTTTGGTTTATTAACATTACATCAGTTAATGAAATACGGTATTTTATTGTGAATTTAAGTCTGTAAAACCTAAAATGTTGCTACCATATTTTTTACGATGAAGTTCTGGCAACCACAGCTGCCGGTATTTTACCATAAATGTCACAGATTTTTTTTTACAGTGTACATGTGCTATCTGGGAATTCACATTGCTATTTTTAAACCCTCAATATGAGTGTCTCATAGATTTAAATTATATTTACTTATAATATTTCATCATCTTACATTGTTATCTGTGTCCACAGTGTTGAAGTGTGTACTGAAGTTTTCAGGTACAGTGTGACTGACATAATTTTCTTTAATACACTTTATAGTCTGTATTGTATGCATATGAACATGTTTGTTCTGAAGTTGATTGATAATGTCTGATCTCTCATCTAGTGGATGTGACTCTGGATCCTGATACAGTGAATCCATATCTCATCTTGTCTGATGATGGAAAACAAGTCAGTCTTGGAGATATTGAGCAGGATGCCCCAGAAAACCCAAAGAGATTTGATGTCGGTTTATGTGTTCTGGCAAAGCAGGGATTCAGTTCAGGCAGATTTTACTATGAGGTGCAGGTGAAGGGAAAGACTGAGTGGAGTTTAGGAGTGGCCAGAGAATCCATTAACAGGAAGGAGATGATCACACTGGCACCTGAGGATGGATTCTGGACTGTTATTGTGAAGAATGAGAATCAGTATATAGTTTTTGATAATCCAGTGGTTATGTTCTCACTGAGAGTGAAACCTGAGATTGTGGGAGTGTTTGTGGATTATGAGGAGGGTCTGGTCTCTTTTTATGACGTGGGCTCCAGATCTCATATCTACTCTTTCACTGGTCAGACTTTCAGTGACAAACTCTATCCATATTTTAGTCCAGGCCTTAATGAAGGAGGTAAAAACTCAAAACCACTGATAATCACACCTGTCAAAATAAAAAAAGAATCAATTCCTCTAGAATATGGAAAATGAATTCTAAAAGATTATCTATATGATGATTTATGTTGCTTTTAAAAACAATAGGATTTCATCACACCTATATTCGGATAATGTAATAAAAACTCTGGACCATGAAAACCCTAAATGGGATTTTCATTTTCATTGTTTCAGGAAAAAAAAAAAAAACTTTTATGTCAAGATCATGAGAACATTAGGTCCTGATAACGAAAAATCAATATTGTTATTTTGAGATGACAAGAAAACAAGAAAGAAAACTAATTCTTCTGTAGACAGTTTGTTAAAAAATTTTAAAACAATTTTTTTGCTTTATTCACAATATTTTTTTTTTTCGTTATGCATACATTAATGTTTTAAATCTGCTATAACAGTGGTTTTCAATCCTGGTCTTGGGGACCACTGCTCTGCACATTTTGTACGTCTCCCTTATTTAACACACCTGATTCAGATAAGCAGCTCATTAGAGTGTATCAGATAAGAAAGACATACAACATATAAAGAGCGGTGGAAAACCACTCTGCTATGATTAACTTTTACATAGTATTATTCAATACAAAAATTGTGAAATTCTGCATTATATGTCCACAGTTTGTACAGTTGTGTGTTCTACATGTTAACATGGAATTACATGTAAAATGTTGTGGTTCTTGGTTTATATTAGAATAACTATAGCATCTGAATGAAGACTGATTCTATAACTAAATTATATAACAAATGCTTGCAAACTAACCTGCTTACTAATAAATATGCAATTGTTATATGAAACTATTAATTGTAATTGAATTAATAAAGGATTAAATAATATAAAATATTCCTGTATCTTCAAGAGAACAAGAGCATTAAAATGTTTTACAATTAAAGTGTTTTTTTTTAGTTTGGTTTGACTGTAATATCAGTGAATCCATGCACCTGAGTGATTTGATGGCAGTCCATCGATGCCAGGAGCTTCTGAGAGCCGGAGACGGTAGGAACAAACTTCTCCATCAGTGTAACCGTCACAAGCTTCTGCACATCACTGACACACAGAGCCAGAATATAAACTTACTGTAAATGTATCACTCTTTAAATAAAGTTTTCAAATGTAATGTAGTACTGTTCATAAGTCTAAAGTGCATGAACATATCGCACCTGAAATTAAAGTGCTGAACACTGAAAGTCTTACCCTTTTGTGATCTCTTTGACGTTCTGCATTCGGAACAAAATGTTCTTCAACACTTGTGACAGCGGCTTCTGGAATGAGATCTTGACTGTCAACTCATCATCAAGTAATGTTTGACAAAAGCAGCTACTGATTCACACATTTCAGGGCACAATAAGCAGAAAAAAGTCTCTGCTGGGACTGTTTAATAGTCAGACTCCACTCACTCTCTTGTAGTTTGAGGTGGACAGGAATCTGGGCTTTCTTCATCGGTGTCTTTCAGCACTCCAGTGTAGTACATGACCATCACCTCATACAGCAGACTGGCTGTGTGCCACTTTGAGCTTTTTGTTTTTGACGATGGAGAGTTTGGCGTCTCCGCCATTTTCGGATATAATGTACAGCACAAAAAAATCAAGCAAGTGACTTTAAAGCAACTCTTGAGTGATTTGAAACCGTCTTCCTTGTATCAGGTGCTGACATGGCAGACAGATGTCATGAAAAGTTAAAAACAATAAAGGAAGAAAAATACCTGATGCAATAGAAACATAGTCATCATTGCTCTGTTGTTCCTCAGCTGTGTTTTCTCTCTTCATCTTCATCATCTTCCTGCAGTCCAGCAGTTTGCCTGAGCACATCTTCTGTGGCATCTGCAGCATCTGCTGTTCTCCAGCGTTACAGTGAGGACCCAGAGACTCTGTGGAGGTTTGATGGCTGGATCCATGACTGTCACACACACTCTCCTGAGCATCAGTGGGACAGAGTAAAGTGAGTCTGAGCTCTGAGTCCTGTCTCTCTGGATGTCTGTTCAGAGAGTTGATCTCTGATGTTCCAGACTGAATCCGTCCCATCAGTCACACACAACCAAACCTTTTCCAGCTCCTGAGAAACACAGAATCAAAGAGACTTTCAATTTATATAACAACCACTCATCTGAAGAAGATTGTTTTAAAGAATGTTTTAAAGAAAAAACTCTTGGCCAGCTATATGTATGAAAAGAAATAACCAATTTTTAGATGTCAAAATAGCAATACAGACCATTTTGCCTTTGAAGCTTCTCATTGCTTTGGTGATGTTGTCACTAAATCATGTTTAATATACATAATACCATCAGAATCCTGAATTCTCCTCTTTTTTTCGACTGACAGATTTCTGTGATGAAACCATCAATATCCAGCATAGACAAACATATGCAGTGGGTACGGAAAGTATTCAGACCCCCTTACATTTTTCACTCTTTGTGATATTGCAGCCATTTGCTAAAATCATTTCAGTTATTTTTTTTTAATCAAGTCCAATCAGTATAATCAAACACAGCTGGACTCAAGTGAAGGTGTAGAACCATCTCAAGGATGATCAGAAGAAATGGACAGCACCTGAGTTAAATATATGAGTGTCACAGCAAAGGGTCTGAATACTTAGGACCATGTGATATTTCAGTTTTTCTTTTTTAATAAATTTGCAAAAATGTCAACAATTCTGTATTTTTCTGTCAATATGGGGTGCTGTGTGTACATTGAGGAAAAAACTAACTTAAATGATTTTAGCAAATGGCTGCAATATAACAAAGAGTGAAAAATTTAAAGGGGTCTGAATACTTTCCGTACCCACTGTATTATCTCCTCCAATCAACAAGTTTACATTTAAAACATGCTATTCTCAAACTTCTGCCAGTTTCTTCTAAAACTGTGAGCACTGTATAAACTCCCTTCAGAAGTGAGCTGCTGCTGTTTCTTTTCTTTACAGCCAGTGAAAATGGAGATAGAGGTGGTATACAGCGAAATTCTGAGACACCTGCCACTGAAACCACCTGATGTGGTGCTTAAAACTTACACTGGGGAATCAGTGACCATGAAAAGACTCACCCAGGTAAAAGTTGAACTGAAAAGGGCAAACAAAAAATCTACCATTGTATGTGGTTTTGGGTGATTACCCCTCGTTGATGGGACGTTCCTAGCTGGAGCAACTTAAGGTGGTTCTTAAAGGCCCGGCCTGTGCCATATGCACTCAAACATAGAGGCGAGCTTAACTGAACATGTGAAGGATGGTGTGCTGGAACCAGTCAGTGTGAGCAAGTGGGCAATACCTATTGTTCCAGTTCTAAAGAAAGATGGAGGCATAAGGATCTGTGGGGACTTTAAGGTCACTGTAAATCCAGTGTTGTCTGTAGAACAATACCCCTTGCCTCATGTTAATGATCTTTTCACTGGACTGACTGGAGGACAAAAATTCTGTAAAATTGACCTCAACCAAGCATACCTACAGATGCATGTCGAGGAACAGTCCAGAGAACTTCTCACCATCAACACTCACAAGGGCTTATTCAGGTACAAATGCTTACAATTCGGAATTACTTCGGCTCCATCCCTTTTCCAGCAAGCGATGGACCAGATTCTTGCGGGGCTTCCAGGAGTGGTGGCATTCTTGTGACTGGCACTGATGAAGAGTCACACTTGCAGCACCTGGACGCTATCCTTGAGAAGCTGAAAGAGTACAGATTGAGAGTGCTCAAGAACAAATGTGAGTTTTTCAAGTCTTCAGTCAGGTACCTGGGGCACATAATTGATGCCTCTGGTCTGCACACCTCCCCATCCAAGGTCAAGGCCATAGTAGATGCTCCAGTACCCAAAAATGTCAGTAAGCTGCGATATTTCCTCGGCTTACTTAATTATTACGGGCGGTTCATTCCAAACATCGCTACTCTGTTGAAACCTCTGCACAAATTGTTGTGTCACGAGAATAATTGGAGGTGGACCGATGATTGTTAGGAGACATTCAAAAGTGCGAAATAGATTGCCAGAAGTTACTTCTGGTGGCTGGGAGTGGACGGCCAAATTGAGGGTAAGGCAAGAACATGTACGTCATGTCAGAGCATACGCAATGTACTACAATTGGCACCGCTGCACCCGTGGGAATATACGGAGAAACCATGGCATCATGTTCATGCTGATTTTGCAGGCCCAGTCGAGGACAAAATGCTGTTGGTTGTCATTGAAGCACACAGTAAGTGGCCTGAAGTGGCTATCATGAAATCTACCTCAGCTGAAAAGACCATTGAGAAACTGGGAGAAATTTTCAGTAGATTTGGACCACCAGTACATTTTGTCTCCGAAAATGGCCCCCAATTTACATCTCACGAGATGGCCACATTTCTACAAGCCAACGGGGTGCAGCATATCAAGTCATCACCCTACAATCCTGCAATCAACGGGTTAGCAGAGAGGTTTGTCCAGACCATGAAACATGCCTTGAAAGCTTCGCTTGGGCAGGGCACATTTCACCAATGCCTTCATAACTTCTTGCTGTGCTAGCGCAGTACACCGCACGCAACTTCCAAAGTGTCGCCGGCTTATATGTTGTTCAATAGAGAACTCGGGACAAGCTTCAAGCTACTTAAACCAGCAACACTCAAAGAAACTGTCCTACAACAACAACAAAAATCAGATACAGCGACGGAAGCTGCGAGCTAAAGACAGAACTTTTTCGACAGGCTCACCAGGTGCTGACCCGGAATTATGGCAGTGGTCTGAAATGGGTTCCGGCTACTGTGGAGGCCAAGACGGGTCCAGTGTCCTATAAATTCAAAACTGCTGGAAACCTTACTTGGAGGAGACATACTGATCAGTTGTTGAATGGAGCCAGCACATTCTCAGATCTTCCCGAAGACACTGATGTCACTGATCAAATAGGTGTGACAGATCACCAGCTTCTGTAGCCGCCACCACTGAGTTTACCAAGACCTCAATTTCCTCAATGCCCACCTCAATGTTTCTTGGATTATACTTAGTTAGGGGCTACCCTTATTGCTTTGGGGCAGAATAATCACCTAAGGGTAAGCTAGAGTTTGAGGTAGTCTACCCTCATTCCCAGGGAATTAGTTGTGCTCATATACATAAGAAAAAAAGACTGAATGTTCTGATGTTCTGAGTTAAATAGAATTTAAAAGAAGTTTATGTTTACAGAATGTTAAAAGAGAAACTGAATGTTATAACTTCATGACTGCAGATGATACAGTTTAATTTGTCATTTTTGTGTTCTACCTCAAAGAGTAAGAGGGGAGGAAATGTTGTGTATTTGTTTGTCAATATTATTATTAATATTACAATTATTGTTTGTCAATAAAACAAGATATAACAGGAAGATACAGCTACAGTCATAATTTATAAAAAAAAATATTAATATTCCAAGTCTTCCGAGGCAAAACGATTGATTTGTGAGATGAATAGACGCAATCACTGTCTCCGTCCGCCTTAAGCTCTTAAAATAGTTTTTTTCATGTCTTTACATTGTTTAGAGCATAAAAAAAATGTAAAACACAAAAATGTAAAAAATTATATTTCATTCATAAGTTATGCTATGTCCTCGGTAGAGGACATCGGGACTCAATTTTTTAAAAAGATAAAAAGACATAAATGAACATGCATAGGCAAAAACAATAGATTTTTTAAATCACCAATACATTTTTAGTTTTCAGGATCTTTTTTTTTTTTTAACCAAACTTTGTATAAAGATGATTCTCAACTATGTTATAACATAATGATTTGACATACCATTTTTCTTTCTGCAAAATGTGTGTAAAATGGCCATAAACGGGTTTTCTCATTATATTTAATGTATCTATAAACTAAATCTAATTTGCATATTAATGTGTTTTTGGGGCAACATATAATGAAAAAAGAAGTGTAATAATGGGAGTAATATTTGACAAGATTTTCATAATAATATATAATATTTCATAGATTATTGAAACATAATTTATTTCCCTATTCATTTGTTATGTCTAACAAATGAATGCTAATGCCAAAATGCTAATAAACATGCTTTTAGTCCCAGTGTCCTCATATGAGGACATGTATGAAATCAACCTCCTGTTTCGTAACAGAAAGTCATATTTTGATTTGAAACCCCATAACATTTTCCTGAGATGTTTATTTATGTT